TATGCACTGCTTGATATTTAGCCGGTACCAACTCTCTAGAATTCTGTACAAGAGGAACACACAGATATGAAGGCGTGATCACTAGCAGTCAAACTAGGGATATCTTTAAAGCCTTGTCGAAATGTTTACTGTGGCGACATTTTTTTTAACTGCTGTTTGCTGCTATTTAGCTCGAAGAGGATACCTTTCACGTATAAAGTACCATAACTGAATTCTTCCTCTGCATGGTACCAAGCTATGATTAAAACAGCTTACCTCAAATTAGATAATCATAACTGCTTACCCACCAATTTAAAAACAATTTCATGTGATGCTCTAGACAACTCTGAAAACAAGAGAGGGGTGATGACAAACGTTTATAAAGCTTGACTTGCCACAAAGATACATTATTAGCCGCACAAAAGTAACAAACTTTGCAGAGAAAACGAACGACGATCTACGTCGCTGTAGCCCATTTCACAAACTTCAAGAACTTGCCATGCTCCAAGTAACTACCCCACTTTCGTCTTCATGCCATAACACAACTTCCAAATTGGAGGTTTCAATGACTGTCAAAACATTTTCACAAATGGCATTTTTAACACAATCTATATTTCTACAAAATCAAAAATGTCTTTACATACTATGCAGGTTTGTCAGTGCTTTTGGACATTTCGACCTTTGAATGCAGGACAACATTTGCAGCAGGCATCATGGCCAGAAGGTTCAGTTAAATTTTCAAAATAGTTATTAGACTAGCACATTTTTCGAAGTGCCACAGAGAAGTAAGACTCCCCGAAATCACTGCGCTATGAATACCGCAATAGTGAACAAGTGGACAAAATGAGTGGAGCAAAAGCCGCAGGCAGAAAAAATATTGCATAGGCAGTATTGTTTTTCCCAGCAACATAAATTTAAAAGCCATATTAAGTACTGAAGCACTACATGCCAAAACAGACATTATTAAAAGGCCCCTAAACCACCTCCGTTATTTTCCCAAACATTTAAAGTAAACAAGCGCATCGCGTATAGAATGCCATCACGATAAACGATGCCACATGCCGCAGCACTACACATAGCAGGCGCGCCACAATTTCAAAAAAACAATAGCTTATCCTTTCCGGTCCCTGCCACTGACATGTGTGACATCACCAGTGAAACTCGATGACGTCACCACTTTCGATGCTTGCGATTGGCCAAACGACAACCGACGACTTCCGGTCACTCTGCAAACAGCTGTTCGCATACACTTCGCCAGTCTTGGTCGTGTTGCCGCTTGCGAATCGACATCTGCGGCCCGTAACGCAACCGCCAAGTCACTAGAGTAGGGGCACGAGCCGGCACGACAGCAACAGCGGTTAATCAACGATCAGTGCAGCCAGATGACACACACAACACAGTTGACGGCGAGCTGGGGTGTCGGAGTGGCGGATCGCGGCAACTGGAAGTAGACGCTGTCTTGAACAGCGCGTCAGCGGTGACGCATGCCAATCGAGATGAGGAGGAGCACTCGGCTAGCCGACTCAGCGAGGAGAGGCCAAGCGGTTTGGAAGAGGGTAGCGTAGGAAAGAGTGAAAGAAGCGATCGTCGCATTTCGATCATCTAACGCGCGTAACTCCTCTATTATGGCACCGTTTCGAAAAATTCTAACAGCTATGTGTTCATTGTAAACTCTATCACAACTTCCTCACCTCAACTAAATTTCGACCGCTGGGTGGTTTAGGGGCCCTTTAAGCAACCCTTGGTAGGGTAATCCAGACCCATAAAATAACTGAAATTCTCATGAACACACACATGAATCTGAGTAGATCTTTTTTTCCAGAATTAACCCCCCTCAAAATGTGAACACAGTGGCTGCGAGTTAAACTTGCTACATGCTCAAGCATGGGCGTAGCACACTAGGCACGTGCCCCCCCCCCCCCCCCCCCCCCCCCCCCCGAAATTTATCAACGTGGTATTAAGGTGGTGACAGAAATCTGTGCAATCACAAAACACCACACCAACACGATTCCCGCGATGCGCTGCGAACTTCATAGGCAGTGCTTAGCAATCTATTTCTCTTGCGCTGGTTGTTGTCGCATCAGATGACAGCGCAGTGGCAACCAGATGACATTTTATAAGCGGGCGCAGCGTAAACAGGTGCTTTTTTTCGCATTTCAAACTCCCAGAGCCACTGCGTTCCATGCTAGCGAGGTACGCCTTGGCAGTTGCAAATTATAGCGTCTCGGATCGAGAGTATACCGTCGAAGGAGCCTGGGTTTCGAGATAGGCGTGCTCTCGTCTATACTATGTTTCACACATGTGCAAGGTTGCGAAAGCTAGCGAGACTTCTTGCAGTCGATATGTTCGCAACAAAAAGTAATTCGGTGTTCTTACCACCAAAACTTCATTTTTCTTTCATTATTAGGCAGTTAAGTAATGGAAGTATGTCAAGTATGTCTTGCAAACAAAAACGCCGTTGAGTGTCTGCTATTATGTGGCTGTATAGTTTTTACGCTACGTCACATACAGGCTCTCGACTCTGGGTACGTCATGATGGCGGCGTTTCTGCGTTCTTTTGTACTCACCTCACTTTCTTCTGTTTGCCAGTCTAGCCAAAGAGAAGCACAAAGAAAGCCGAGGAAGCATCAGCAATAAATTAGGGAAGTTATACGTTATTTGATTTGTGGGGTTTAACATCCCAAAACCACCATATGGTTATGAGAGACGCCGTAGTGGAGGGCTCCGGTAATTTCGACCACCTGGGGTTCTTTAACGTGCACCCAAATCTGAGCACACGGGCCTACAACACTTCCGCCTCCATCGGAAATGCAGCCGCCACAGCCGGGATTCGATCCCGCGACCTGCAGGTCAGCAGCCGAGTACGAAGTTATACGTTATGCTGGCTGAACTTCCATAGCATCCACAGTGTTGCGCCTCACGTATGAAACAGTATAATTCCCCTGTCACAAGGCAAACCGAATGTCATTTCTTTGCTGTCACACACAGAAAATAATGCTATTTGATGAAATCGACATCTCCTGTTTATAAGTTCACAAAACACATTGGCATTCAACTTCAAACCAAATGCATAGTCTCGATGCCAGGGACTTTTTTCTCAGTATCACCAGTATCGCGGGCATTGATTGCCTGTGTTGTGGTGATCAGGTGTGGACCCCATGAAATTGCTGCCGCCGTCTCATTTCTGGAGCCGTGGGGTCTGTTATGCGCCCAAACTTCAGTTCACTTATAAGTTGACTATGTATATTCACTCCGTCATATCGTCGGCCATGTAGGTTTTCGAGTGGCCCTTGGCTTGTCTAGATTTGCAGCATGCAGCTGTGGGAAGCTGTGTAAAATGGCTGTGCTTATATTAGCAACTGTACAGGGATAAAAAGTTACTTTTGAGGGTACAGGTATCATATGTTACATGCGAGCTTTCATGGATTTTTTATTTCTCCCAAGGCCACGGCTCAGAAGAGCTAAGGTCATGGTCATCTCTATAAAATACTTGTTTTCGTTGTGTGACAGCACGCAGGTAAATGACTAAGTCCTCTTAATGTCATTCGTTGTAAATAACATTAGGTGTGACGTAACAGGGGTATCAGCATAATGCCATGATTGATTCGATTGATATGTGGGGTTTAATGTCCCAAAACCACCATATGAGTACGACAGACGCCGTAGTGGAGGGCTCCGAAACTTTCGACCAACTGGGGTTCTCGAACGTGCACCCAAATTTGAGCCCACGGGCCTACAGCATTTTCGCCGCCATCAAAAATGCAGCCGCCGCAGACGGGATTCAATCCCGCGACCTGCGGGTCAGCAGCCGAGTACCTTAGCCACTAGACCACTAAGCATAATGCCAGACAAAGCACACTGTAGTAGCCATAGGTTAAGACTGCTTTTGAAGAGTTTACCCAGAACTTTCAATACAAAATTGTCGTTTGCAACATATCTCTCGGGACTACAATGCCAGCATCGACGCACAAGGCATGTAACAAAGAATGCAACAGTAGAAAAAAAAATGATTAATTCCACCACTGCAATAAGGAACAATCTTGCGTTTAATCTACCTCCAAGACTATTCCATCATGTTATTTTAAAAAAAAACAAAAGAATAACCTGCACGTAAGCGACAATTCACTGGTTTTACACAGATCATCTTTCGTTGCATATTCGAAGTTTGCACACCTACGCACACGCCGGGGCACTAACACATGTGCTACGACCAGTTCAAATGAGCATTTGGTTGGTGTAATCATGTCACAACAGGAAGTTAACAGGTAAAAGCGCCTGGCTGGCGCGTGTGCAGACGTCATTTTGCAACTGTTCAAAGAAAGGCGATTTCATTACAGAGCTCAAGATCTACTTCAACATATACAAAAAGGCTGTCCATAGAACAATTTGCTCTTTCTGATACCTTTCACTGGTCAGAGCACACACACGAACCAATATAGCTTTACGTAAGTAAAAATTAAAAAAAATCACTATGATCCCGCGCCAGAAGCCAAGGTATCAGCAACCAGGCCATACTCAAGTCAACACTTACGCTACCACGGCCAGTCCGAACAGGTCTCGTCACGTAAACATTGCAAACGTCGGAACTAACAGCGCAAACAATGATACAACCAATTCTACATGATGACATAATATGGACTTGCCGGTTTTGGACGACTTTCGGCTAGGCTGCTAACGTCCGACATGTGCGGTCGACACCGATTACATCAGTAGTTCGAATGTGCATCAACACAAAAGGCAATAAACGCTCGACATACAGTTTCCAGACAGTCAACCCAACATTATAATACCACTGCAAGCAATATCAACTCCTTACATTAAACACACATTGCACAAAAGAGCACATTGAAAACACAATTAGGGTTAAGCAATAGGCCTAAAACTTGCGGACTACAGATATCTGGTCGTTCAAAGGAACCGGCGAAGCAGCCGATAACGACACTGGTCACACCAGTGAAACCCGGCTGATTCAAGGGCGCCTGCCAACAGCACGCGACAATGAATTTTTCAGTACCACTTACCAAACGCGCGTCGCCCATGTTAGAAACCTCTGCGTCATGTCATACACACGCTGCAAACCGACATGTTTTGCTAAATATGGCGGAAGAGGTGGCGGCCGGGTACACGACCTACTGTATTTTACTGTCCTGCCCAGTGAGTGAAGTGCCAGCACGCACTTTCTGGTACTAGCGCCTGCCGCTAAGCGCTCTTTGGCGCTAACTTACCCTATCCGCACCGGTTGCTGACGGCCAAAACACAAGCCGCCGCGTTTTTTTTTTTTTTTTTTCGTTTTTTTTTTTCTTGTTGTCTGTTCGCGTGACACTGGGAGAAAAGCAGCAATGTTTACGCGTGCATACATTATGAACAATTGAAAAAAAAATGAATAAAAGCCTCTTCTTGAATGAACTTAAAAGTATAATGACGATCTTTTGCTACCGTATCCTCGTGCCGAGCTGCGATAGAAGCGTGCAGGTAGGTGCAGTTTGTACACCAGCGAAGCGAGGTTTCTTGGTGCAAATTAACCATCACGATGGTGGTGTGCTGCGTGCCTTTCTGCGAATCAAGGCAAGGGAAGACTTCTGATGTCACTTTCCATGAGTTTCCAGTGACCGAGGTTGGTGAAAAATGGATCAAGGTGATTTCTAGAAAGGGTAAGCTGCTCAATTAGGCGTTGTCTGGCATGCTGAAAATGTAATGGGTTGTAAATGACTACGTGCTATACTCACAACTTTTTATTAGCAAAAAAAAAGAAATGATGACAAAAGTTCATATATGGAAGTCATGTCATTACATGTGGTTATGCAACTAGGTTTTCAAACACACCCATTGTGGGAAGAAGCAGCTTCTTCGAGATAGCTTTAGTAGTTTAATTGCATTACCAAAAAAGAGTAGAGATCGTTTCATAAGTGAATATTTATCCTCTGCCGCTTAATTAGTTTGACCTCGAACTTGAATTTATGTGCTACTGCGTCTGATATAAACGTGTTAGTTTACCCGTCTACGCGCATGCATGACAAAAGGACATATACGTGAAACCTTTTCTCCTAATGAAAAGTTGCGAGTAGCGTGTGTCCTTGTCTTCTTTCTTGTGGTCATCCGTTTTATTTAGTGCTAATGTATCTCAGCCAGTTACGTGTGTCCCATGGTTAACGAGTTGAAGTCATACGCTCACTTCATAACTGTGTTTTATTCACTTCGCCACCATAGTATAAACTTCTAATTACATGATATACTCCTTAGAAAAGAGCAAGAAGTTTTGTATTTTATTCACAATATTTCACTGAATGTTCATCTTCTTCCTTTCAAGGTGCTGGCATTGAAGTTTGGCTCCCAAATGACAGGTCGAAGGTGTGCAGTGTGCACTTTGCTCCAACCGACTATAAGCCGGGACTAAATATAAAAAGACTGAAAGCGGATGCTGCGCCGTCATGTTTCCACACTACCCAAAGTACATGGTGCCACCCGTGGCAGAAGTCCACCGCACCTTGAAACATTCAAATGTTCAGGAACATGGACCCTGCCCAAATAAAAAAAGTGACTGACAATGTTTAATGCTTGACGTCTCCCCACTGCTCTTGCATACAAATTAGACCAATGAAAACGAATTTCAAGGAAAGGCGTATAACAGAACGCAATTTTTAATGCAGGAAGAAAACAGGTTCAGCTCCAGCGCAGCAGAGCTTGACATCGAGCGACATGTCATCAGTACCATCCGCAAACACAATCGCGGGACCATCCTCAGACTTTATCACCCTCTCACCGAATTCGAGCGCACAGAACCACCTGAAACTGCACCTGGCGACAAAGTAAAAAAAAAAGACCGTCGCTCCTTGACCACGCAAACAACTATAACCAGCCAGAAGATGCGCCGTGTGATGACTTCCGCAAAATCGTCGCACTGGAAATGCCAAACCATGGCAAGGAATAATGCTGAATTAAAAGCGCAAATAGCCAAGCTGAACCGTGAAGTTGCAAAGGTGAATCTGTTCTCCAAAAGAGCAAACACTGCAGTCTTGCAGGTAAAGTTGTTTGCTGTTGGTGCTGTTTCGTTTCAAAGCAGTTGCAGAGTGTTTTTTATTGATTATTCATGTACCTGCGATCTACATTTGACATTTGAGACGAAGGTATTTATGCGCAAAATTGTCTGTATTGGGTTGTCTTCTATGCACGCTGGATGCCGCGGCCACTGTCAAATGTCATAGTCCTTACACTTTCTTGTCCAGACAGTAAATTCAATCGATCTGAGTATGCGACAACAAGTCCACCAATGTATACAGGTGTAGCCGATATCATCAGTTAAATAAAGATTTGGTGGGCCAGCACTTTTTACAACCTCTCTCTGTCATCATTCTTTCTTGTTTTGCACGCTGATACATGTGTTTGTATCTGATTTGCGGTTATATTTGAAAAATAACGCACTGAAATGTCAACTAAAATGCAAAAGAAGATTCTCAAAGTCACATAAAATAAAACGATTCAAGATACCCGCGTATCTGTATTTCTATGCACCCCATGTATTTCTATGCATCCACCAGCGCTCATGGATAAATGGATAGATGTATATGGCTGTACCTTGAAATTGGGTAGTGGCTAGCGCTACCAAGCCGTCATACTTAATGAATCAAAAACTAGATTTGTTTTTTTTCCCTTAAATAGTGAGGTTGAGGATTCGTACTTTGCAGTGAAGGGTTTAATTTTCACTCGCGCCTTGACTTTAGCCACCAATCAGATAACCTCCTTCTAGTTATTTCTACCCGCTTAAAGTCTATTTTGCCCTCACTGTCCCTAAACCCCAGTGTTTTGAATGCTTTGAAAAACTCTGCGCCATTATCCCGAACTATACGGTGAAGCCCTTTACAGAACATTATCAAGTGTTCGGCAGTTTCTTCTTCCTCTCCACACGCACTGCATACTGTGTCTACCCCTTCGTATTTGGCCCGATATGTCTTGGTTCGCAGTACTCCCGTTCTGGCCCCAAACAGTAGAGAACTACCCCGAGTATTATCATAGATCTTTTCCTTGGCAATTTCCTGCTTAAACGTTCGATAGATCTCTAGTGCGGACTTCTTAATCATGCCCATTCTCCACATGTCAGTCTCCGTTTCCTTCACTTTCTTCTTAACCGATAGTTCTTTTTGGTTTGGCCACCTGCTGTTTTCTAAGTATTTACCAGTCAACTTCCTGGTTCGCTTCCTCCATTTTGTATCGACATTCTTCATGTACAAGTAGCTGAAAACCTTCCTAGCCCAACGCTCTTCCCCCATTTCTCTCAATCGCTTCTCAAATTTTATCTTGCTGCTAGCTTCCCTGCCCTCAAATGATGTCCATCCCATATCACCTTGTACTCCCTGATTTGGTGTATTCCCGTGAGCTCCTAAAGCAAGCCTACCTATTCCACGTTGCTTAATTTCTAATCTTGCTTGAGCTTCTGATCTCATGCACAAGACCGCATTGCCGAACGTCAGACCAGGAACCATGACCCCTTTCCATATTCCTCGCACAACATCATACCTATTGTAATTCCATAGTGCCCTGTTTTTCATTACCACTGCATTCCTGTTACCTTTAGTCGTAACGTATATTTCGTGTTCCCTTAGGTACTCGGCCCCATTGCTTATCCATACGCCCAGATATATGTATTTATCTGTTATCTCTTGCGTGACCTCCTGTATTCTAAGCTCACTACCTTCATTGTCATTAAAAATCATAACTGCTCATTTTTCCTTACTGAATCTGAAATCTAACCTATCTCCCTCATTACCGCAGATGTCCACCAATATCTCTTCAAATCTTCCTTGTTGTCGGCCATTAGCACTATATCATCTGCGTACATCAATGCTGGTAGTGCCTATTCAATGAGTTTTCCTTGTTTGACGAAAGAGAGGTTGAAGCCCAGTCCACTTCCCCCTAATTTTGCTTCTGATCCTTGTAGGTACATCATGAATAATAAGGGTGACAGGGGACACCCCTGCCTAAGCCCCTGTTTTACCTCTGCAGGCTTGGATACCTGTTTTTCCCACTTTATAATTACCTTGTTACCTTTATAGATATCTTTTAAAAGATTAGTGACTACATTTTCCACGCCTAGTGTGTCCAATACTCTCAACAATTCCTCTTGAACCACGCTATCGGACGCTTCCAAGCTTGATATCCAAAAATGCTTGCCACAGGGACCTGTGTTCCATTTCTGCTATTTCGATGCACTGCGTCAATGAGAACAGATTGTCTTCCAGCCTCCTGTGTTTCGAAAGCCATTCTGCAGTTCCCCCAGCACCCCCTCATCATCTATCCATGCCTGCAGTCTTTCCTTTATAATCTGCATCGCCAGCCTGTGGACCACTGATGTCACTGTTATAGGACGGTAGTTTTTTTATGTCAGCTTTGTCCCCCTTTCCTTTATAGATCATGCTCCTCCTGCTAAGTTTCCATCCATCGGGAACTTCTCCATCGATTATTATTTTGCTCACGGCCTCTCTCAAAGCCTGCTTAGACTTCGGACCTAATGTCTTTATCAGCATAATTGGAATGCCATCTGGGCCTGTTGATGTACTACTAGGAACCCTTTTCTCAGCCCTTTCCCACTCTTGTTGTGAAAATGAGCCATCGTGCCACTTGATTCATCCTTGTCTATTGTGGTGCATAAAGCCCTTCTTTGTTGAAATTTTTCTGTCACCCTTGTTCTTATATATTCAATAGCTTCGTTCCCTTCTAGCCTAACACCTTGAGCTGTAGTTATAAACCTGTGCTCTAGGCTTGTCTCATTTCTTAGGGAGTTTAGATGGTTCCAAAATTTCGCAGTTGCCTTTCTATCTTTTTTATGTACTTCTGCCAGCCACTGGGCTCCCTTTCTTCTAATCTTTTTATTGATCAGAAGAGATGCATCCCTTCTACAGCTCAGAAAGATTTCCCATTTTCTTTCAACATCATCTGTCGGTTCACCCCACTGCTTAGCATGTCGGTTTTCCCTAGAGGCTTCCTGACGTTTTCATCCTCATCCCACCAACTTTTGGGTTTGCGTCTTCTTTTCTGGGGTGACTTGTCACGTGCCTTAGCAAGCTCTAGCTCAAACAATCTAATTAGATTCGTGCCACGCTGTTTTATTATCCTCA